TGAACTTTGCTTACTAAAAGCAACTCTGAACTTTGCTCATTAAAAGCTACTCATGGCACCATGAACTATGTTTACTTATAACTACTCATGGCACTTTGAACTTTGTATACTACAAGCTACTCATGGCAACATAAACTTTTCCTTTTTGATTTTTTTAACCGAAATCTATACGTAAACTTTGATTAATTAAAAAAAAACACTCATGAAATTTAGTGTATTGCTTTATAAAGAATTACTCATGGCATTCCTAAACTATGCTGTATGAAAGCTACTCATACCACTCTGAATTATCGTGGCTGAAAACTTCCATGACATTCTAAACGATGCTCGCTTAAAAAACAACTCATGACATTTTAAACTATGCTTGCAGAAAACTACTCATGGCACCCTGAACTTTGTTAACTGAAACTACTCATGGCACCCTGAACTTTGCTTACTGAAACTACTCATGGCACCCTGAACTTTGCTTACTGAAACTACTCAGGGCACCCTGAACTTTGCTTACTGAAACTACTCAGGGCACCCTGAACTTTGCTTACTGAAACTACTCAGGGCACCCTGAACTTTGCTTACTGAAACTACTCAGGGAACCCTGACCTATGCTGTCTGAAATAACTCATGACACCTTGAACTTTGCTTACTGATAACTAATCTTGGCACTCTGATTTTTGTTCGATTTGGATAAGTAGACGCTGAAAAGGTAAAACGTAATAAACAGGGCTTAGCAACTTTTATTTGAAAGTAAGTAAGTCCTTACTTGCGGTATATTAAGTTAGTTCCCCTAACTGGGTCTTTCAACACAAAGTCTAAAAAACTAAATATTTGGAAGACCCAGACTTACACATGATCGTGAATTCTTTAGATCTTATTAATGAATTTAGAAACTCCTTACTATGAGTTACATGTATTTTCTTTATAGAATTTGTTCTATGAACAACATTAACTCCTAATTAGAAGATATAATAGCTTAATTAGGACTTTGTTACTCCTAATTAGGAAAAAAAACATTAATTAGAGCAAGGAGTTTATCAGGTCGTATTAGGAGAAAGTAAAGACTTATTAGGATTTTTACTCCTTATAACGATAAAAAGCCAAATTTGAACTTTGTATGTCCTATTTAGAAGTTTTAAAAAAACATAAGAAGAAATAGAATTCTTATCAGTTCTGAGTATGAAAACAAGCTAAAATTAGGATTTTATTTCTACTAATAAGGTTTTTAAGCTCCTAATAAAGACATATATTAGGACTTAGTTAGTTCATAATTTTACAAAACTCTAATCAGGATTTTATTCCTCAATTTCTTATTAAGAAATACGAAATCCTGATTGTAATTTCATTTCACCTAATTAAGCGTTAAAAATATAATTCTCAGTTGGCTTTTTTAATTCCTGAGTAAAAGTAACAAAGTCTTTAGAGCCTTACTAAATACTTAAACGTGATTTGTTTTAATGATTTTCGACCGTGCGACCACATACACGCATCGAGGACATTTTGGGGAAAAAATGACCGTGCGACCACATACACGCATCACAGGATTCCCCTTCTCTTACGAGAAAGGGTAAAAGAGTTGTCCGCCCTTTTATTAAAGGGCAGACGTGAAAATTGTGCCATATCTTATCGTTATTGACAAGCAGGCTATTTATTCACAGATATATTTTCCACTGGTTTATGTACAACTTAAGTAATGCAAATAATACGGGTAAACACTTTCCGTCTTTTTAAGTTCGCAATGAAATTTTGAAAAGATCATATATAATTTTTAGGAAAATCTTGAGTTTACAGTTTTATCTACTTTTCATTTTATGTGTATAATAGAATTATGTTATTTTCTGCATAAAAACTTTTTTCAAACGTTTCAAAAACGTTTTATATGCATTAAACAATGTGGGATATATATTTCACACTTTGTTTGCAAATATTAACCTGGGGGCATTTTTGCCAAATTACGCATAACATTGAATACTCGACTTAAGAAAAGTAATGTAATAGGCTGCAAGAGAAAAAAATAAATTAAGCAGCCGTACAGAGATCTGAGATGCCCCTCCGTGCATTAATTCAGGCAAGAGTGGACACGTGAGCAGAACCACCGACGTTTCGTAAGCTAGGAATACATCACAAAGCCAATGGAAAGTTCTTCAGAAATGTATTTCGTTGTCAATAAAATTTAGGCCTACATGATTATTACATACAGCTTTTCATATATCATGTTGATAATATAACAAAATTCGAGAAATTTTACAGAAAATCTTTTTTAAATGAACATAACATAACGTAATAATTTTACGCCGCCATGAAGGATAGCGCCTACTACAAACTCCTCGCAGTGATTTGATTAGCTCCGCTGAAAAGTCTTTGCAGCGAAGCAAAGGACCACCGCGTATGACTTTGTACATGGTAGTACGTTGAAAATATCATTAAATTGTCTTTAAACCACTCAGCATGAAATAAAATTTATTTATTTCTCTAGTGAACAGAAATTGTACATGTAATTCATTAGTAAACCCCGACTATTGTTTTTTCACGTGTTCAAATACTATCTGTGAAATAGAATCCTTATTTGAGCCGCGTCACGACAAAACCAACGTAATGCGTTTGCGACCAGCATGGATCCAGACCAGCCTGCGCATCCGCGCAGTCTGACCAGGATCCATGCTGTTCGCTATCAGTTTCTCTACTTGTGATATAGTTGGTAAGCGAACAGCATGGATCCTGATCAGACTGCGCGGATGCGCAGGCTGGTCTGGATCTTTGCTGGTCGCAAACGCACTATGTTGGTTTTGTCGTGACGCGGCTCATATAGTATACCTTAAGCTGGGACTTTAAAAATGAAATATATACGATACATAATGATACAAATAAAAACATCTTTGATAAATTTCTATGAGCCCTTTATTCCCTGACAATATTTACCAGATTTGGTATTTGTCTTAATGCAGCACGCCTCCAGATTTATGCTAAATTTCATGAAAATTTTGAAAAAAGTCTTAAAAAGGTGAACAATGAAAATAATTTTCACCTTGCAACAAATTACCAAGACGATGTTAAATTTGCAAAAAAATCCTTTCTACGTTAGTAACACAGTAGAAATATGGTGAAAATTACTGCAAAATCGGTCATAAATCGCAAATAACATAAAAATAAATACTTTTATCTTGAATCTTTTTACTTTTCTTAAACTCTCTATACTTTTTTCCATAACTGATTGTTCTGAAATATTTTGCCTCTTCATTAAATTTTTGCTGCAGTCTGCGCAGTCTGATCAGGATCCATGCTGTTCGCTTACAAACCCTATTACAAGTAGAGAAACTGATAGCGAACAGCATGGATCCTGATCAGACTGCGCGGATGCGCAGGTTGGTCTGGATCCATGCTGGTCGCAAACCCACTACGTTGGTTTTGTCGTGACGCAGCTCAAATATGTTTTTACTATGCATTTGACACGCTTTCATTTTCACATTTCTCTTTTACCATATTAAACCAGTGCTAAATTAAACTGAAAACAATCGATGTCATGTGACCTGATATAATGTATAAACATTTTCCCATATATGAATAAACAAAATTTCATTTATTTTTGCAATAGTTAAGTGGTCGTTTACTAAGAAAAAATATTATTATCATAATTACATTCAGAATGCGTGCTTACGTCATCAGTTTCCAGTTACACTCAATTTTCTCACTGAGGCCTGTCGGGTAATATTCGCGACAATGTATCGCTCGGTAGGATTCCTGTCAATTTATCGATACACCGGGGAGAAAGTAACTCTCTGAGGGCCCTTACAAAAGATCATGTTTGAAGAAATACATGTTTATAGATAAAGCATTTTTTTCTGGTCAAGGTCACGAAACATATAAATATGTTTATTATATACTTACAAATGAAATATTGAGTAATATTTTCACTGGTATCTTGCCGAACTACTTTCTTTTAAATTCTGCCAGTACATAAAATTTAAGGGAAAGACTTTCAAATTGTAATGTCAAAGAAGAGGAAAATGTATTTAATTAACAGAAAATTCAAGTTTTTTTCTATAAATACATGATTTGTTTTTATCTTGTGGCATGAAAATGATCATATTTCACTCGCGGCAACTGCCACTCATGAAATATTTATTCCATACCATGAACTTGTGGACTGTTCTGCATTTGGCACATTATTCATTCAAGTATTTCAAATATTGATAAGCGCAAACGAAATGTATCCTTGTTATAAAGTATTTCTTGGCAAATGAAATATTGACAGCGTTTTAAGTGAATTATTATTAGCATTTATATGACGAATAATAATATTTCGTTCTTCAATTTTTTTTATCTGCTATATATAGATAGGTAATATCGGGTCATGCAGCTCACACTTAACAACAGCATCCATATATAACTCTTTCATGGTTTGATGTCAAATATTAAACTAAATAGTAGCAACTTAACTTTATGCTTATAGTATTACAAACATTCAGTTATGGACCGACTAAACATTACAATTGTGTTCAATAATGTTGAAATCTATATTTAGAATTAAGGATTGGACTTCCATTAATTGACTAACTCTCAGTCCAATTAATAATTTATGTATTTCTGTTTATGGTATTTACAGGTATACAGTATCACATACATGTATAAAAATATGCTGAAATTTTCTTGGTTGAATTAAAATGCACATTCCATAAATCACTGCTTATCTCAATTATAAAACGAAAATATCAAAAAGAAAATAATAAAATAAAAATGCCTTTTAATGATAATGTACATTCTTAACAATGTATTGGCCAGAAATAAATTTCATCATTTGGAAGCAGACAATCCCTATGAAATACTGAATCAGGAAAAAACAATTAATTAATCGATAATCAAATTCCAATTTTCAATAATAATAACAATTAATTATCGTTCACCTTATTAATCGTATTACAAATTATGACCCTGGGACAAAAACAGAACTAAATGGTAACCCCTCATCAAACACCAATTCCAATAGGATCAATATTTAAACAATAGACTCCGAAGACAATATTGTTACCTGTACAATATGCCTGAAAGGTATTTCTCATTGTTTACCCGTTACCTAGCAACTGCGGCTTGGGACAGGTACGTCACGTGGTACAGTATCGACTGCTTTTTTCCGTTCATGGAGCAATGTTTATATTTGGTATTGTGTAATTTTTAAATATTTGTATCGGGTCGATTTTTATCTAGTATCAGGAAAACGGGTGTTTATTTTACATCCATAAAAAGCGAAAAACTTACGTCGAGAAAAGGTCGAGTTTTGGATTTTGAAGCGTTCCTGTACTGATGATGTCTTCAATCATTTAGAATATTTGTATGGGAGTGAAAATGAAACGGTGTGTTAAAAATTGAATCACATTTATAAATCGATGGAGATAAGTTAAAAAGACAAAATGATAAGAAATAAATGAAAAGGTAAATATTATTATATTTATATTTTTTACATCACTGTATATAGATCGGAAGTGCTAGTAGTTTTAATTTATTTTAAGATAAAAAGAGAGACTAAACCCGTTATACCAATTTTCCAAAGAACTATGTACATGTATAACCTATGTCTTTCGTCACTATTCACTAAGGCAATACAATTTTATATCTATATAGGTGCTTAATGGGCTAAAAGAATAAGTGTACGACATATATAGATGATGTTTTTAGTCATTGACCAATGGCCACACAACTGAATCATAATTTGTTTCTTTTATGCTTTGGCAATAAGCAGAGTCATAGTGATTCAGTATTTTATATTGAAGTCAAAGTATCACTATATGTTTTACATTTTGCTACTTTAATATGTTTCAAAATATTTTGAAACAAGAATTATTTCACACTCAGCGCTATTTTTTTAAGGTGATTAGCATACAACATGTTCTAAGCCCATTTTTACAATATTAAACAAAAGTTTCTGCAGAAAGAAAGAAAAAATCATTTCTGAATCTTATTGTGCTATTCTTATTTATTTTTAACACTCTTAAAAAGTTTCAAAGACCTATTGTCCCGAACCTATGGGGTAAAAGGGCAAAGTGGCCCATTTTACGGACATTCCTTAAAGGACAAATTACTTAAAAAAGGTGTAGATCAAACAGCCCACCTTTATGGGCTAGTTGAGAGAAAGAGATCAATAGTAATAAATGAATATTTCAAATTCAGACAAGGCCTTCTTTAACATTTTCTAAGTTCGATCCAAACTACCGCTGTATTTTCAAGTTCACGATATATTAAACATGAAATATTTTACCCTCCAATAACACTTTATGAATTCCATCAAAATAATTTAACGATTTTTATAAAGAATACATATACAAAGGTACATCGTTATGCTAACAATTAATCGTACAAAATGAGCGACAACATACATAAAACTATAAGTGTACTAAATATAAAGGGTAAATAATATATAAATACTAACAACCGAGTAAACATTTACACATGTACTTTATATATCCATAAGTACAGTGGTACATCCACAAGATGTCAAAATAAGTGAAAAATCTGATAGGTCCAATTTAAAAATGATTTGTAACCCTGGAAAAGCGTAAGGAGAAAAGCAGCGGGAATAAGCTGTGCGTTTTTGACTGCCAAAATGTGCCGGACTGCAAGGTTAATGCAGTGTTAGGCCACATGTGTCACAAATCACATTCGTCACAAGTTTTTATGAATTTGTGACGAATGTGATCACATTCGTCACAAGTGACGAATGTGATTGACCAAAATCGGGTAAAAATGCCAATCACAAACGTCACAAGCAAAATTGAGAATTTTTAAACAGGCGAATCACAAATGTCACAAGTTTATTTTTCAATATGTGATACACGGAATATCATAAGGACAATCGTGGTTATATCAGTGCGATAGTACAAGGGCGACAATGCAATAAATCGATATTGTGATGTCGACATCACGATACCAATATCTTTTCACCACCATTGCATTATCGCCATCGTACTAACTTGTTGCAATATCGTATCGTCGGCATTGTATTGTCTTCATAGAACTGTCGCATTGTCGTAATGGTATTGCTATCAAGTCGTCTTACGTTCTCGAAACCTTCAAAAAATTTTGGTGACAATGCACGGCATAGTATCAGACTTCAACTGGAAGTGATCTTTTACCTCTGTGAACCCTCAAATTTCTTCCCACCATACAGCGACAGTCTAAAGGAATCTCACAGACTTAATCTTAGTTTCAGTACAAATTATGACCATATTTACACCAATGAGACCATATATGATTGTTTGGGAAGTAGCTGAGACCCCCGTTGACTTTCAGGATATCTAATTAGAGATTAGGACCTTTTGACATCAATGAACCTTTTTTGGTCTGACAGACTTTTGACTTCCGCAGACTTTCAGGAATCTTGTTCAATTAAAGAGTATGACATTTTGACATCTAGGAACCTTCTTTCCTGAGACGATTTTGCAAGTCTGTGCCAATTGCTTGCAGACGCTCTATGGAACTTTCCATATCTATTCCACTAGTAATAATAATATAGTTAATTCGTTTAAACAGATCGTGTCTTTGTGGCGGGGCCGCTTTATCGTTTCGACGCGTCTTAGCTTTTTTCGCCTTTTATGATTAGATAGTTTCAAACGACGGTGTTTAGTGAATTTTATAGAGGATATTTGTTTGTTTTGAGTGAATATGAAATATATTTCACTGAGAAGTGAGAAAAAAAATGAAATATGTATCACGAGCGCGTAGCGCGAGTGAAAATATGAACATTTTCTCACTTCGATGTGAGATATAGTTCATATTCACGAAAAGCAAACACATTTTCTTTTTATTTTATGTGCCTTTTGAAAAGTGCTTTTAGACCGTTTACTACTGAAGCGCGGAGACTACGCGCGCGTAAACACCATGACGGCAAACGTTAACGCTGCAAGCAAAATAATCCTTATTTATTTATATTTCTTTTTGCGGTCTCATTGTCAACAATCTTACAAAATTACGGACATTTGAATCGAGAAATATGTCATTTAGAATGAAATTAAACAGTTATTTTTAATGCATGTTTAGGGAATCCAGACTTATAAATACGTACGCAGAGTGGGCGTGGCTTATATCACCCAAATCTATATCACCACACTGTGACTGATATAATATGAATATATTTCATTGATAGAACAGTATTTCATTAGTTAGCATCAAATAAATATAGGATATTACATGAGTGTCTTTTCATATTGAATTTATTAAACGAGTTTGATAAAATAATAAATTGCGAGGCTCTGCCGAGCATTTTATTATTTTATCCAACTCGTTTAATAAATTCAATATGAAAAGACACTCATGTAATATCCTCTATATTGGCCTACGAGACCGCTAAAGCCCTCGGGCCAATACCTCTTCTTGGCCAATATTGCATTCAGACACACTAGACCTGTGTAATAACCTATAAATACGCAACGGCAAACACTATAAATAGAAAAAAAATGTGAATTTAAACGTATATGAGTTTTGTCCATGTAATATGACTGTGGTCAGGTGACGTGATGCGCCAAATATCGATATCGGTCCGACTTCCGGTTGGGCCGATATCGATTTCCCACTTCGGGTTGCTAAAAAAACGCGGAAAGATTGACAATTTTATAAGAAAAAATACGTTTAACTGAAATATATCTTGATAAAAAAGCAAAATTGAAGAAACACTTGAAAAACAATCTCCAAACAGTTAAATAACGCCAAAATATATTAAAAACAAATGTTTGTGAGGAAATGACGTCAACGTCATTAGACGACGTCAAAAGTCCCTCGCTTTTTAAAATAAATTATACATTGTCGCTGAACAATGTTTTCAAACGATTTTTTTTAATTCTATAATGAAAACCAAAACATAAATGAGCACATGCAATAAAAAGGTTATAGAACAGGTCTGGTGTGCCTTAATGCGATATGGGTCTACAAGATCGGTATTAGCCCTCGGGCTCTTTTAGTGGGCCAAAATCGAATAAAGGCACATCAGACCTCTGTAATAACCTATAAATATATCCCGCCTCTAAACCAATGAAAATTCGTGAACTTTATTAGCAGTATTATAATTGCGGCTAGTATTGTGCAATGTGAGTTTGCTTTTAGTATTCTTGGAATCCATGTTGTTATTCATTACTTTATATTCTAGCATAAAACTGCCGTTATAACCATGATTTCGGGGTGTTTTAACAGGACCAAAAAGGTCTTTTAACAAGGAGATTCTAGCGCTCATGCGCTGTTAAAACACCTTTTTGATATACGTTTTCCGTGGCACAGCGTCAATACATTGTGGCCCGGACGCTGCTTAACTAAAACGGAAATGACGTCACGGTCACATACAACGCTGACGTTCCCATGCAATCCGAGGAAAATCAGTGATGTTGCTTGATTGTGTATGGATTGTGTTAGATTTATGCATGCTTTATGCTAGAATAGCGTTAACGAATGATTGTTCCGTGTCATAACAACTGCTGAAACCCTCGGGATACGTTGGGTCGGGTACCAACTAATCCCTTGGGTTTCTACAGATATTTTAACACGAAAAAAGAAACATGCGTTATTCCTATATTATATCAGAGTTCTTTAGTACTGACGGCTCATCTAGGGTTCAATATGGCGCGGTTCATATAGTTATTTTACCAGTAATATCTATAAAGGAAAGGGTTAAATGAGAATCATGAAGGAAGTTGAATAAATAAACTTAAAGAAAACTTAACATTTCTTGTAGAATATGATTGGTCTTGCGAAGCTATAATTACACGAGGTCATTCAAATATCTTGCAAGCAAATTCGCTGAATTAATGTTTACCGCCGACAGCATCATATACTGATTGAAAATTAAACAATTGCAGGATACATTTCGAATAAAGACTCCGGGGAAATAGTCGGTTAAAGCATAAATTATCAGGGCCCATATCACTCAAGGTCACGGCGATAATGCACATGCCCTTTTTGTATTGAAGGTTCCCACACAATTAAAATTAGATATATTTAACATTTGAAGACATGAAATACTTAAGTTATCTGACTGAATATTAAGCAACCAGGGGTCTTAACTTCGGGTAAGTGCCGTCAATATACACATCTCCGCTTGGTATTAGATGTACCCACATAGTTTTGTTTAAATTATTCAGCAGATTTGTTGAAGAATAGGGTTGAATTAATGCCTTTCTATGAACAATAAATGATAATAAATTATGGATCATAACTCTGTATTAAACGGCCAAACGGGAAATACTGATGATGATGATGATGATGATGATGATATGCACATCTTGTTTGTTTGTTTATGTGTTTATCTAAAGTCGCCGCCGGAAAGCCCATATAAGCGACCGTACCCTCAAGTCGGACCAAATCCTTTAGTGTCCCGTCGAGATTTTTCGAGATGCGCATCTCCTCTTTATATTAAACTAAATTTCGTTGAAATTCCTAGAGCGCAGAAAAGCAATAGTTCTATATACAGTGTTTTATAAATAACAACAACAACAAGGGGCAATAAGTCTGTTTTTAAAAAGAAATGGAGATATGCTGGTTATATGTGCAACTGGTTTGTGAATGAAGGTTCCTACAAAGTTGCAGCATCGATATCCATCCAGAAGTTGCTGAAAAATAGCGTGGAAACGAAATGATTCCATATACAGTGTATAATAACTAATCAATGGCCGGATAGTGCGGAAACTAAATCTGGACTGACAGGCGGACGAACACGCTAAAACAGTCCCATCACTCCCGATTTCATCAGCGGGGGAGGGGATAAAAATGTCTGTAGTTTTAGTTCCAATAATTGATTTCAGTCCTAAAAATTTGTGACGTTTGTGACTCAGTGAAAAGCATTGAAGAAAACAATATTTATCTCAAATTTGTGACATTTGTGATTTTAAACTCGTGACGAATGTGATTGTCTAAAACATTGGATCACATGCATCACAAAATGTGTGACGAATGTGATCTCATTCTTCACAATTGTGACGAATGTGATTTGTGACACATGTGGCCTTACACCTTATTCGCCGGGCGGTGAATACGCGAGGACTTTACCAACTTTTAGCCGCGCACTATTGGTCCAAATTTAAAGCCCCAACTAGTCTCTGGTTGCGTGGCTTCAAATGACAGGGTCAATAATGATGAAGATTCTTCCACATATTCTAATAACTTCATCAAGGCAGTTTTGCCTCTTATAGTAGACGTTTGGTCTCAAATGATAATATTTATTAAGATACTTTTCACATATATTTTGCAAGAAGGAACAAAGACAATTGTATCAAAAATGGTATTCATCCTCTATATCATTGATATGACATACGTTACAGAATAAACAAATCTGACAAAAAGTTGATCACAATGAGCTTAAATTTAATTTAGTATACTTTCAGAAACATGAAGTTTGTGATAACATCAATGACCGAAGTTCTGAAGTCGGTTATCATACCAAGTCAGTCCAACTTCTAATTCATCCTTTAATATTTTTGTTAAAAAGTTAATAAAGAAAAACTCAAAACTATTTATTAAATGTTATGAAAAACAATATTCTAAAAGTAAAAGTAAAGTATGGACATTGTTTCTCTTTGCAGCAAAACTTGAACTTTAAACGAAATAGTTGAGTGGCATTGTTATTAAAGGACGATAATAATGGGTTGCTGTGGCTCAAAATCGGAAAATTCTAAGAAGAAGTCATACCTGGTGCAGACGCTGACCGGTCATGAGTCCGGTGTAAATTGTATGGCGTTGAGCGAAGACGGCAGCGTTCTGGCAACCGGAAGTGAAGATAAAACTGCGCGTCTCTGGAGTGCAAAGACAGTCCCTTGTGAATGCATCGGAATATTACGAGGTCACGAAGAATATATTAACTGTATTTTAATCGAAGATTGTTTCTGCTTAACCGGAAGTGCTGATAAAACTGTCCGGAAGTGGGATGTAAGCACGTGCGAATGCGTACTGATCATGCGCGGACACACTTCTGTGATATATAGAATGATATGTACCGGAGACTTTATTTTTACTAGTTCTTACGACCGTACTGCCCGATGCTGGGATTTTGACAATGGCGAGTGTATACGAGTGTTTCGGGGGCACAAGAGAGGGGTCTACCCTTTAATTTTTATACCGGGGGATGACGACAATCCGGAAGATATAGATAATTACGACGGTTCTAAAGATTTACTTTTGACAGGATCTGCTGATTTTACGGCTAGATCGTGGAATTTCGAGACAGGACAGTGCCTTAAAGTTTTCAAAGGACACACAGGCGCCATTACGTGCATGTCAACCGACATCATGGGCCGTATATTATTCACCGGGAGTACAGACTACAGCATTCGTTCTTGGGACCTCTTAAAAGGAGAGCAACTTAAACTATTTTCGGGTCATCAAGGTTCTGTGATATGCATGCAGGTAGGTTTCAATAATGTATTCACGCAAAGATTCACTTTTATTTTGTTTTTAATATCCCGAGAAATACACGTAGCTAAAAACGTTTTAATGATGTAAAACAAGAGCTGTCGGTAGTTACTTGATAGTAAAACAACAGTCTGGATAATGCAGAATTTCCTAAGTTCAAAAAGGGCCGTAATTCTGTCAAAATCCTTGTTAAATTTATGGACCTTGGTCAGTGGCCTCCTATTATGCTCTTAAGTAAAGGTCTGAAGTTTCAACCCATTTCCTTTCAGTAGTTTTGGAGATACCAACTTGACGCCAAAAAAACCATAACCAAAGTGTGACGCCGACGACTGGTTGACTACAATAACTGTTCCTATTCTTGGAACAGTCGAGCTAAAATGTGCCGCACACTATTTAGAGCATTATCTAAAAAAATATGTCTTTCTTTTTCAATGCATGGATCTTGTGAACTGTCAAATTATAAATACATGTAGGGCATACCATTATATCGGTACAAGTTTGCAAATCTATTCTCATAAAATATGAATAAGCATTAGTCTTCTGATTTCGGCCCCTTTGATGTTGAGGCTGTATTGATGTTAATTATTAATGTCAGGGAAATCTGCTGACTCAGCAATTGTATAAGACATAGGAACAAATGTAAACAATTTGCCTGGAATTAGTTTCTGTACCGAAATGATATTATTACATTACAGTCGGGTAATATTTCGTATAAATACCAACGACGTCGTGTTAGTGAAAAATTGACACATAAAGTAAAAAATGTCATTTTAGTAAAGTACGGTATTTAAGTAGAAATTGTCATTTTAGATACGACAAAGTTCTTGATGTTTTTTTAATAACCATTTTAAGTATGGCATAAAAGTAAAAAGAAGTGGTATTTTAGAAAAAAAATTGAAATTTAAATTATATGACATTTTAGTGAAAACTTGACATTTAAAATATGACACAAAAAATGCAATTTCAGTAATACAATGTATATGAAATTTTAGTGAAATAATGACATTTTAGCTACATTCAAGTAAGAACTTAAAATTTTAAATATGACATTAAAGTTGTTTTATTATTATTATTATTATTATTATTATTATTATCATTATTATTATTATTATTATTATTATTATTATTATTATTATTATCATCATCATTATTGAAATATGTCAATCGCTGAAAAAGAGTAGAAGGGTGGCATTTTATTAAAGTATGACTTTTTAGTTAAAAAATTTTACATTTTAGTGAAATCATAAATGCAACCAAAAAAAAAATAATATCATTTTAGTTAAGTATGTAACAAATTTTTCCCGTGAACGCCGAGAAATAAAAATAAAAAAAGTTTTCAAGTACATATACTAGACTTTCCGTTTGGTGCGTGAAATAATCTAGTATTTTGTTGATATGTTTGATACATAATATTATATGTAATTTAGAAGAGCTGACACAGTGCATGATATGTTATAAAATTTATGTGTAAATTGAATTGAAAAATGTGAACATCATAGCTAAATTACACAACCTTTTTCTCTTGATTCTTCCTGTATCAAACTATGTTGTACAATGATTAATAAATCTGTTAACATACTATACTCAACATCACTAATTCCGCGTCATCACTTATTTCACGGTAATGGCATATTTTTTAAAATGGTCTGAATTGACATATTTTATTCATACACCTAAACAACAAGTTTTTGTGCAAAATATTTTAAATATCTAGATTTTTACGTTAAACAGAACAACATTTTACAAATTTCTTCAAAAAGCAATGATAGTCAATTAAATTTGTGCGTACGCCTGAAACAATCATCATTTTTTTAAATGGTCTTGTTTGTTGAAAAAAAAAATTTCAACTTACAAAGTAACTGTAAGGATATTTTTAATTTTTAAAATCACGCAAAATAACATGAGAAATTTTAACTGAAACATAAACAAACTGAAATGTAAAACCATTACCGCGATTTAAATGATGGCACACTGTTTTCAAATGGCCGACATATGGTCTACGTTTGGTCCATTAAAATTGACTTTGACTGAATATATTGTTGTTTCCTTGTGCAGTACAGCAAAAAATACCAAAATGTTATAGCTTATGACAATTTTTGTACCATAAGTTTCATTTGTTCTTTTCTTTTTGGTTTCAAAGCGTTAAGTACCGTGAACTAAGAGGAGCACAGTATAGTACTTTAAACAGAATGTATATTTTGTAAACTGTGCTTACGTCTGTAAATAAAAGTGACGTACATGTACTTTCTTTACTACAAAGTGTTAAGTTCACAATATATTCAGACTGTATGATGCAGACCCGTGACCTTGACCTTTGACCTACTGACGTCAAATTTAGTACAGATTATCTGCAGGTCATTTCCAACCTTCGCTATGCATTTATTACGGGAACTATATGTCAAAGCGTTCTCTCGGACAAGGTCATGTCTTCACACGGACAGACCGTCATCTGCATGGGGGTGTTGCGCGTATTAAAGAAACATTTTTATATTGACAACAATGGCACTGGCGCTAAGAAAAAAATACCAGTAGTAGAAAAAAAATCATAGTTTAAAATGACTTATTTCACAATTATACGCTACCACAAACGAATAGACACGTGGTTTTAAAACTAAATGCTCCTGCATTCCACTGTTTTGGCAGTCTACGGACCGGACAACGTTTTAGCAGGACAGCGCGACGGCGTGACAGCAGGACGGACAAGAGTAAATCTATTTGTCCCCTCAAAGAGGTGGCATAAAAAGGGAATTTAAACAAAGGAAAATGTCTATGATACTCCCATATATGTTTCTCAAGATTAAATTTAATTGCAATGTTTTGTGGCCTGTAAATTAATTATAAAAGGTCGTTTAATTAAAGCGATTGGCCGATAGGGGCGGGGTATACCTTTCCTTCCTGTGTGTACATATTCAGAACAAATAATGAATCATCATGTAGATAAACAACTGTCTATAACACGGCACAGTTTACGTCATTTTATATAACATCGTGGATGTTCTCTATACGTTGGCAACCAAAGTCGCCCAGGAACGAAGTTCTCCTTTGATGCTCTTGGGTTAACTAGTCTGCCTCAATGATTTCTCTGAAAGATGCCTGAAATGAATACAATTGTTTTAACTATTGGGGAAGGGATAGGGGGACTCTCAAGTTATGTTCCTCAACTCTATATAAGAATTGGATGCAAATCAAAATGGTCCTGTTCTTGTAAACAGTAAAGTCAAATAAGACACTGCGAACCCTTTTTTTGTTTTGTACGTTTTCACCAAAAACATATATATAAATTTCCAATACTGTATATAACAGTGATATTATAAAATCAAAGTTCCTGTTTCATATGGTGAAGTTCGTGGCATGCATTTATAATTTCAGTACAAATAAGCTATACAAATTCTAGTTTGATTGCATACAAAACACTTCCTTATATACATGAACTAAACATACTGCGCACAATCATTACATTACATGGCATACATGCATATACACTGCATGTATACAACTGCTTTTGAGTGTATTTTTTTGTGTAAATACACAATAAAAAAAAATGTTTGGAAAGATTTTTACGCACTTACATAAAAATATCAGCAACAAAATGAAGATCACCTTTATTCGTCCGAATCGCAAAACGCAAATCAACAAAAACACCTTGGCACGGACTTCACGAAACAATTCGCACGCTTGGCACGGACTTCACGAAACCCCTCACGCGCTAAGCACGGACTTCACGAAATGCCTCGGGCGCTTCGCACTATATCACGAGCGCGTGTACTTATTAAGACATTGGAAAATAAAATTATTCTAACGCTGTTTGGCGAATATGGTTAGATTTTTGCTCAAATTGCAAAAAAAAAAAGAACCATTATATTGTCAGTTGCAATATATATAGAGAGATATACTATGCTCATCTCTGAATAAAATACTTTTATTGCAAAAAATTATTGAAATTCTTACTGAATATGTCCAATATGAATACAGGAATGCACAAACTATGGTTGGAAAGCTGCTCTCCCTAGTACTGGTCAAGTCCATGTGGTCCAGTTTTCTTCCCGTCTATAGTATATGCTTAATGAGGGTCCATCCGCCCATTTAGACGCAAAAAGCAGCTTTCGATGCCGAGTATAGACGCCGGACATGGCACAAGTCATTCCCTTAATTAAATGGTTAATTTTGAAGCACAAAATTGTGATAATTTACCTTAATGCAATTTCCACGGAGTATTAACCAAAAATATGAATGTTGATCAAAAGGTAAAAAAAGATGTAGCCCTGAAGAGGGCTGTTGGTGCAGAGAAAAAGGGCCTTTCTTTCAAGCCGTCACTTTCCGAACTAGGGGTTCACACACCCTAGCTCACTTTTTTCATCGTCTCTACCTACTCTCTATGGTCACTCCTCTCAACTTAAGCCAGGACATCGGCAGCTGTGTCAGCTGAGTCGTAAGTTGCGATAGAAACTTAACCCCCCAGCGACGAAGGGCTAGTTTGGTCTAGCTTCAAATTTTCCCGTCGATGTCCTAGGCCTACTCCACAACGTGCACGTACGAACCGAGGGTATCAGAGAAGACTGCTAGTTTTTTTACCGTGTTTACTCATAGTGTTAAGAGTTTGAACACCTAAAGTGCTTTGAGTTTGTATGTTCTCAAAATACGTTTATTTTAAATTTACTAAGAGACTGTATTAGTAATTTTCAGTTCTTTCAAATATCAATTTGAGAATAATATATCTTTTACTGAGTATTTTGTAAAACTGCTTCACAAACAATTTAAGTAGTTGCTTTTTGTTCCACGCATTTACAAGGTATCGAGTAAAGTAGATAATACGTCGATTTTGTTCAAATACAAAAAGAGGATTATTCGATTATTAGAAATTACCAATTGTTTTGTACTATGTTAAATCGCTGACTATGTCTTACTATACAATTTAATTGATACAGAAATATTGAAATATTGTCATTGCTATATAACGGAATAAATTAATCGGTTAAATTGTGTTAGCTGTTCTTTAAAATCATCTCGTTTCTATATTTCATATTTAATAATTTATACAATATAGATTTGTTATGGTTACACCGGCAAGCGTTGTTATAACATTGATCTTATCACGTACATGCTTGCATATGCTTGAATGGTCGTGAAATAGATTAATGGTATCTGCAAGTACATTATATCTCGTAGGGATTTATAAACCCTGTTTAAATATGTACGGAATTTATCATAATAGAGTTATTACTATTGAAGTATCTTGATATGGTATGCCAGGCAAAGATCACGTGATCCATATGGTATGCCAGGTAAAGACCACGTGATCAAAATGTGATCCGGTCCAGTAATAGATCAATGTCTTCAAACACTGACCTTGTTTTTGTTACATACGTCTCATACATAAACCTCTTCGAATAAAAACTTTATGTCAAATGCCAAATATGCCCTCAAAAAAGCTACCAATTTTATTTCTCAAAATCTTTGGATTATGGTATTCTTTTAAAGTTTTCAAAGAAATTTGCCACAACATAGCTGTTTATTGCAATTACAGCTCTTTTTGCAATCAGTATAATTATGGTGCATAACTGTTTTGTATGGAAGTCAAAATATTACTTTGTGTACATTTTTGATACCTTTATGACACATTACTGCTCTTTCAGCGCTACTTTCATCAGCTGTTTACATCTTACATGTTCTATATTCGTTCATTATTCAAACACTATTAAAAAAATGTTTGACAGTTCTAAGAATTAAAATGTATTGATTTTGAGGCATAATTTGCCTTTAACTTTATGTTAATGTGTTGCTTAATAATAATAATAATAATAATAAAAACCTGACCTAACGTTAAATTCTAGAAAGACCAAGAACTTACAAGTAAAAGTAAAGTGTTTTGTTGCGGCGACATATACAATTCACAGGATTTGATCATTTCTACCCGGACACCGCCTGCCCTAAGCCAATTAAAGCGTAGAATTTAATACCAATGATAACAAAATGGACGACAAAATACCTCTAAAAGGGGCGCCTAAGAGGCAAACCATCCGCCATGTTTTTGTCGGGTTACTATAGATTTGAAATACTATCATCATGTACGAATATCGAAACCAGTATGTAGGCTCTTATGGGGTAACAATATATGGAATATTTCTCTTAAAAAAAATACCTAATTAGCTCTATTGTCCAGGAAGGAGTCTATTTCACGAAAAAAATATTTTTCGAATACCCGTCTGAAACGGCGATTCCTAGCATTTTCGGAAATGCTTATGCTTGTTCTTACTTTATTTTACAGGTTATAAACAAAATCCTGTATTCCGGAAGTTCTGACCACACCGGAAGAGCGTGGGTCACGGAGTTCGGTGATTGTACGAGAATATACAAGGGACATAAGCACACCGTCAGTGTGATCAAAATGAAGGATGGTTTAGGTAAGCCAACGCTAAATCATTTTATACAATGTATTATGAAGATATGGTGGATTTGAGTTTGAATTTGACGGTTTGTGAACGTACTAAACATCAGCTGAATAAGACGTATGTTGTGTGACCAGGGGCTGACTCACTTTTTCACTTTGTTCGCCATTTTAGCCAACTGCATGGATTTTATTACAGAATTTCTTGCCCATATTATGCTATGTTTATCAAATTTCGCAAGTAACCCCCGAATGTCACACAAATTTGAGTAAGAGAAATATTAAAACTAGGGTAAACCCTGTGGGTCAACAGTCCGCTACAATAAATTATTTGATGACGTCATACAACTTTTTGTCATGCAAAGTCCAGCAATGCATATTTACAAAATAATAAAACATAACAAATAATATTAGCAAGCAATGTATTTTGTATTAACCAACTTAATTTTGCAGTTTATTTTTCCAAAGGTAAATATTGACTGTAAACAAAGGAATGGCTGAAATTGATATCTTAAAGTTAAATAAAAAGTATGGATCGAACATTACAAACTCTTGGCTTCTAAAGTTTGGAAGAATTTATATTGTACAGCATGGTGATAATTAGTTGCCGATTTTTACCTCCCTTGCGAAAGTGGCAGCCATTGGGCATTGCGGGGGGGGGGGGTATCGGTGGGGCAATATTCTATATAATTGACAAACTTTAAAAAAAGAATATATAAACAGCTATGAATTATCAAAGTCTTTTATGAATATGAATATATCTATAGCATCGCTATGTGTAAAATATTTTTTTTAGTTTTTATAAGATAGATCTAATAGAATTAGCTTATAATTTATTGGGAATGACCCTCAAAATGAGGGTCAGAGGAGGGTACATGTATTGTTATGCTATGTGAGACCCATATACAGGGTCCTTATAAGAAATTTTCATATGATCGTTATTATTTCACATTACAGAAAAGGTTTATTTATCATTGTAAAATAGATAGAATACTATGTTTCACAATGGTAAAAATACGGGAAATGTTGACGTCACGTTTCCAGAAAATGGATTGTTTTTGGAAGCGTTGTTAGGCGGCAAAAGGTCGGGATAAAAACTGTCGCGAATTTTATAATCTTTTATATAAAACGCAAGGCTAGAATTACATGATATTTAGTTGATTAAGGAAGGAATTAACTATGATGTTTGGCAATTAGTTATCGGTACATCATTGTTTGTTTAATAAATTTACCGATCTTAATCGTATCTTATAAAGCAAGGAGTATTTACTTCACAGAAACATTGTTTCACCTGCTATTTTAAAATTCCTACTAATCAAGTACTTCTGGCAGAAAATATATTTTATAATGGCGACAATCAATGTTAATACAGTGTTTATTACTAGACAAGCGTGGAATTCTATTGTAAATACGCATTTAAATAACCAATGAGCTGTTTTCGGAGTGATCAAACCGCAGTTCTATGCGGAAAACATCTACTCGCGTTCGCTTTTTGTTTTATCTTGACAGTTTCGAGAAAATACTAATCAAACCTGCGCGTTACAGATTCTAATTAACTTCTGCTTCAACAGAAACAAACCGTCTTTGGCATTCGTCATGGCGGATGAATATTTTATAAGTCGTTCTTTTCATATCCACGGTATGATTAAAGTAAAAAATATAGTTCTTTACTCTGGCACGTTACTGTAGGCTAGTTATTTCTAAGAAGCACGGGTAGTCAATATAAAATATTCTGTAGAAAAAGTAGAACGTTCTACAAAATCACCGTAAACAACATTCATCAGTACTATTTTAGGGTGAAGTACTTTTAATGTGAGTCAATTATCTCGTTTGAGGACAATAATGTAATAAAACAGCTATGTAGTCGATAGGCGGAATAAACTTACCTAAATAAACGCCATTTTATATCGAATGGTTCCGGTATGTGATCTGACGCCGCTAAATTATTCCCATATGCATTGTTTTAAAAAGCAAGGTCATCATGGTTGATTTTTTTTTATATATAATAAACAATCTTCTTGTTATGACAAAACCTTGTCATACGGGATTTTTGTCCGGAATAAAATACATCTGCCATATTTATCATGCATGAATAAGCATGTTGAAATAACCTTATTGAATAGTTCAAAGTTACATATAAACAAGATACGATTTGCATCTTGCATTTCCAATAAATTAGCAATTCTGTTCAATGATTTTGTATAACGCCATCAGTTTATGGCAAGGCCAGCCTGCACATCCGCGGAATCTGACCAGTTTATTTTATATCGTTGACTGACTTTTAGAATGTTATCTTCATATCCCCAAACTAAGTAATTAAAAGTTCCAGATATGTACCATGCAGGCTGTCAAAGGGTCATTTAAAAATCTTGATTCATAGCAAGCACAGAAAACAACCATATAGAAAATATAGCTCGTGAAGACAAAACAGCACACCACGTGCATTCCGTGCATATTTTACTCGTTGAACATTTTTTTCCTTCATCAAAATACCAAACTGTATTAAATACTTGACGTACAAGTCATTGGAAATGGTTCTTATCTCTTCTCAGACATACTTACGAGTATTCTATTTCTGTTATAAATATTAAATCGCGATTAAATAGGTACAAAATGATAGAAGATGTGATGCCCTTCCATAGATGAAATTTGACAAGTAAAAAACGCGGCGATCCTCTTTGGTCATTCCAGACAAATAAATTCCTACTTTTACACATCCAAGAGGGAGATTTTTTCAAGCTAATCAATATTAAATCTATTTCAAGTCTATATTTGACGCTGTCCGGTTTGATTCTTCGAACTATTATCCGCATTTTACGGGGATAAATCTCAAAGTGGTGTGCAAAAAAATCCACTCAAAGAATAAATTCAGTTTTAGCATTTCATCCGACGTCCATTAAAATGAAAATAACAACATTATTAATATTGTGTGAGTGTATTTTTGTGTAAAAATCCGCATTTTAGATCATTTACGCAGTTTTATAGATATTTATATCAAAATATTCGCATGTGAAATAGTAACCTATAAAGCAAGCATAAAAGTTTTCAAAATATTAAAACATGACTTAAAGAATACAGGACCATTGACAGATATGGTTAATTCTTTACGAAAATCGGTTAGTTCTGTCGTATACGTACCAATGATAGATTTTCGTTTCAAATAATTCCTTTATATCAATAAATGCCATAAAACTATATTTTAAGTGCGACACGTCAGGTCAGATAAGTCAGTTTGTGTTTATTTGAAAAAATTCATTTCGATTTGTGTTTGCTTTATTGATATATACAGGCATGGCTTTTACGTTTAACAGCAGTGAAATATTGAAATTTACAGGGATATCGTCAGCTTTAAACAATGGTAAACTTTGTATCTGTAATTGATATTGCGTTTTTAATGTGCGATCCACGGCCTACTAAAGAAATTCATAGATTAGCCACACAAAAAAGAGAGGAAAATTGTGTAAATCAGCTGAATTCGACTATTGCTGTTATAATGACCTTTCATCTTTAAATGGAACTACTTTCAGTGGTAACCGGATGCGGTGATGCGGTTGGCCGCCTGTATACCGGAAAATCCGGTTCTCTTGTCCGTGAGTTCAAAGGTCATGATGGCGCCATCAACGCTTTACAGGTTTAACTATAGTTCAGTATACCCTATATCCCGTGACATGCCAGAATTGTAGAAATGATCTTGACCCTAAATAGAAATGACCTTGTACCTCTGTAGAAATGACCTTGACCTTTAGTCATTAGATTCCAGTAGTTTCCAAGACAATTCCGGCACTTTGAAAGGTGATATTCAGTCAAACAAAATTATTTTGTCTTTTATTTTCAGCGTATGGTTTTTGAACTTGTGAAAAAACTTAACTTTAAGGATTACGGCCCCTTATTAGCATGTATGCGAGCCGCCATATTGGTAATTCCTCAAATAATGACGTCACAGTGGGAAAACCCCTTTCTCACATGATGAAAATGTACTAAAATTAGGTATTACTAAATACTTAAGTATGTCGAAAGAAGGCGAGAGAGGTTTCGGATTTATATTAGCCGATATTTACCGGCTTATTAGGGTCCGTAATCCTTAATTTTGAGAAAAAAATCTGAATATTTGTCTACTTTGATATATCTTACTTTACTACTAGGAGAAAAGTGTCGGAAACGTCTGTATATGAATCTTTTGTTTTCAGCTATAGACAGATCATCGGTTTTGAAATAGATTGAGTGAAATTTGCTAGTTTAGATATTAACCCTTTACTACTTTCAGTTTGATTAGTAACATTGTAACAAGGGTTTTGTTTTTCTGATGTTTATTGAAGGCCCATGAACCCCGAAAAATGTAACATTTATTTTCAATTATATGGTTTATTTTAAGTGTTCTGATACAGTTTCCAAAACGGTACTCATTGATTTGATCTTTTAGGGGAACTAACTCTTGTTTCTATTGTTCTTTGGCATTTAGATTGATTTAGTATAGTTAGATCTAAAGTGATAAAGAGACTAAATATCACTTTGTTTACGTTTTGTTAATTACTGAAAACTACAAATTATTTCAAATTCAACACTTACTTTCTTCATATGATAAGCATTCAAACATCTCATAGTCATTTTCAAGTTTTAAAACATCGGTAAAAATACATGTAATAGACATGTATAGCAGAGACTTTTATTACAGTATATGTTAATTAAAGCTTCGTCTATCTAGATAGCTTTCAAAAATCATGTATCGATTTTATCAGTTATCATTAAACATACAAGTACATTTCATTATTAACAGTACGTTTTGATTAATGAGGATTGTAAATTGTCCGCCATTATGTTCCGGAAGTGATTTTTGACTTGCCCGGAAGTACCGTTTGACCTTCAGAAATTCGTCCACGATATTGCTTTTCGTTAGTCCAGCTGCATTAATGCATCATTATCATAGAATAATATAAGCTCTATATCTTACTTTCTGTTCCTCTGTTATAAGAAGTATGAATAAAACAAAACCCTTGTAACAATTTTACGAATCGGGCA